AACCAACATTAGCCGTGAAAGTTTTAATTGTTTTTTGCTAAATATATTAGTATTAAAACATTATTAATATTGATAAACATTTTGGAAAGGAAAATAAATGTAAAACGCATTAATTTTAATGAATAAACACCTCAGGAACGCCTATGATGATACAAATTTTACGACCGTTTTATGACTTTGAGGCAAATTTCGTGCTCTCAACAATTTATGAACGGATTATAGTAAAGCTCCATACATATAAAGGGAAACTAAAGTCTATCGACTTAATACTTTTATGATTTCAAAAGAAGAAGGAATAAGTCGCGCTCTCACTCTGTGAATCTTTTTTATTATATTTTTTTAATCTATCTTTGCAGAAAAGAATAAAAATTAAAATTTACATTATGTTCGAACCATAAAATGTTTTAATGTTTTGTTTTCGATTCACCTTCTGCTCTTGCTGCCCGCTGAGATAATATATTCTTTAGACTATATATAACTCATGCATGTTTTTATAACTTTCGGTTCCCATTTACATACATCACGTCTATAACTTTTTTTATTTGCATATAATCGCGAGAACTTTTTACGAATGCTGGAAACAGAGAGAAAAGTATCTCTAATTCGGAGTTTATTTTTAACAAACGGGTCATGATAGGGAAGAGGCTTCCTATAAATTTAAACTGCTTCCGGTTTACAGCTCCAACTAATGGAATACGGATTATGCTCTAAGTTTAATCACTCGAAAAATCAGACCGTACAGTAAGGCAAAATATGGAACGCCAGAAATATCCCGCAGCGGAAAATCTGCTGTTAAAAATTTCCTCTGAAATTTCCACGTTAAATTGATCTGCACAAAAAATATTTTTTATTGAAATCTGTTACGTCATTATAAAATAGACGACTTTCTGGCACATATAACTATGCGTGATAATAATTTGGACTATACTGTGGATTTTTTACTGTACATCTTTTGTGCTTTAACGTTTTTATTATAATAATAATTTTATTGTTATATGTATGTATGTAATGACTCGGTATGTGCAGACATACCGAGTCCTTTTCTCGTTTTGCCAAGTACATTGCACATTAGGGTGGAGTGAAACCTGAAGAATTTTTTTTTTATTTTTTATTCGAAATGTAATAGCGCGGAAAAGTTGCTTACTGCATAGAGGAGTACCATGTTTTTTTTATTTTTTTCTACTATTTCATCTTCAGGGTTGTACAGGGTGAAACAAAAAAAATAATAAATTTTTTTTTCTAATGTAATAGCGCGGAAGCTAAATATATTAATGACTATTAGGCTTTTTACCAACTTTTATAGTTTCAAAAAGTCTTCTACATTTAAAAAGACAAGAAAATACAAATCCCTTATTTTATAAAAACTTTTAATATAGAAAACATAAAAATCTCTAATATAGAAAACAAACCGTTTACTAAATAAACAGGTTCTCTTTAAAAAAAAGTTCAACCAAATATTATTATCTAGACTATTAAATGGAAATTAAACTGCTACTTGTCTTTAAATTCCTAAAAAATGTATGCACTGTATTGCGCCTTAGTGTTAAATCGAGGTAATATGGCTCTTGAATGAATCCTTGCTCGAACAAATCCATCTCTGGAGTCATAGTCGAGGACAGAATTGGAAGCTTCTGTTACAACCTTCACACATCTTTCTACTGCTTGAGTATGACAAGAAAATGACAAAAAATTAGTTGGAAAAATTTCTTCACCATTAATACATTTTCTAATATCCTCATCAGTTGTAGTAGATAAAAGGGGAGGAATTGTAACAGAGCAATTTTGCCAATCAATAAGTTCATAATATTCACTAGCATTGAAATTTAAATCAGGAATTAAAAATTATCTTACATTCGTGTCCACAGTAGGTATTTTTGTGCGCGTCTTCAACATTCTGCGTAAGGCAAGTTGTCTTATGGAAGGACGGTCATCAAAAAGCATTGCTAGAAGAAGGTTCTCCGGATGACAAAAATACGAATTTCTTTTCATAACAGGATCAATGACGGCTTTTAACTCGTTCCTCAGGTAGCGTGACAATTGAATCATTTTAAAGACGTGTATTGCTCCTTCACTACACGATGGCTTAGTTTTAATATTAAATCACACTGGCGCATAAACTTTTACCACAAATTCAGCCAAAGATCTTAAAACCAAAGACAGATTTTCACTTCCGACGTAAACACGCAATATATGATTTGCCTTTGTAACCCATCGTGCATGTGATAATTTACCCGGATTACGAGTTGCTAAATCTATCGAGCACTTTCCACTAGAAACCGAATGACAAATTTCGTATAAGTACTTTTGATCACTGCTAAGGTCCCTTATAACTGCAGCATCTAATTGTGGTAGAGTGGTATGAATAGGAACAAAATGGATTACTGGCAAATTTTCGCAAGACTCAAATAGTTTACCCATTTTGCCAGAGTATTTACGAGGTCCCAAAGTTTCTCCATCGAGAGATTGAAAGATATGCCGGAGGAACAATTCATTCATGTGTAACAGACAAATTGACCACTGCAGAGGACGTTTTAGTTCTGTCTCTAAAAACCGTAAAACCCCATTCTTCCTCCCAGTTTTGACTGCTGTACCGTCGCAGCCTACTACTAAAAGATTACCTGTGCCAATACCGGATTCTTCAAAAAAATTAGTATAAATGTGGCAATATGTCTTCCTGTACCTGACGTTGGAGTAATGTGATTTAGATATTTAAAACCTGGTTCTTCAAGTAACGAAATGTGTTCTTCGGTTTTTATCTTGCAATGAAGTTTATCTCCAACCTTTTCTTGGCACAGAGTTTTATCCTTTCTGCCTGAACTTTTTTACTCTTAAATTATAAGTCTCATTACGTTTTTGTTTTGGATATCTGATGAGAGTTTGGTACTTACTCAGGATATCTGTATATGTAATCGAATAATACGATTGCTTGATACAGTGGGAACTGAGGCTTTTTCCCAGATGGCTTCGATTTCACTGGTAACTAATTGAGAAATAACTAGAACACTAGGATCCTTGCCGGAATCCATACGTTTTAGTTCATTTCTAATAAGTAGATATCGCTTCATAACATCTTCTATAGTTGGCAAAACATTATAAGGTATATTCGCAGGTGCACCAAATATAGGACAATTAGTAGTGCCCATAGTGTCTTTCACTGGCAAACTCATTACGTACCGATTAATTATTACAATAACGATCTTATGTCTACGGCTATCACAGTGGGACTAAAGATTGAGCTAACTTCGTCTTACTTACTTTGTCGAACCGATCTAGCAACAGGTCAAAAAACGTTTTACAGGAAAATATTATTTCACGGAAAGCCTTTACTAGTGGCGTAGCTTTATTTAATAAAAATTAACTGTAAGACGAATATTGAACATTATTTGATGAGATTTTTGATCTGTTTTATTTCCAAAAATATTGCTCAAAATATTTACTTGGGTGACAGATAGAGCTCTAATAACATTATTTTTAACTAAAATAATAGAAAATAATTAACATCGATAAAAGCAGCTTCTTTTATTTATTAAAAGTAAAAAATAAATAAAATCGATTTTTCTTGATTTTTTTCTTTTTTTGATGCGCGGTAGAGCCCTGAAGATATTTTTATTTTCTACTGAAATTTTAGCAGCAAGTATACTATAGGTAGGGTCAACTTTTCGCAGGTATTACATGTCAAAAAAAAATATCGATTTTTTCGCTCCACCCTACTGCACATCCTACGTCGCCTGTAATTTTTGTTTTTATTTAGCTTATTTGGAAATATGTGAAACATCCCTACATTTGAAAATAAATGTTTTTTTGCTAACAATATTACGACAATATTTCTACGTTTCCTTGAATCCCGAAATCAACTGTGTTGCTAAATTTACACGAAATTATAGTTTCTTCCGTCTACTTATCTTCATTAGACATAAATTCAGACTACAATCCTGTAGTCGCAACTATCCGATTAAAACTTAAAAGAGTAGGCAAGACTAATCCCAGTCAGAGAATAGCATTAAGTAGTGCTGACCAAGGACTGCAACAGAAATGCAACAGTATGAAGACAATAAAAGAAAACATTGAAGACATGTGGGGGAAAATTAAAAATACTGTCTTGGAGGCAGCAGACCAAAGTATACAAAAAAAAACCATAAACATAGAAAACACATAAATATGTCAAAGTAAAATGGAAGAAGATAAGAACAAAATAAACGTTAGAGGCTAAAAATAAAAAAAACTTACGGAAAGAGTGTAAAAAGCATAAACCTAGCTTTTAGGTCAAGAGACAATTAGTACACAATTGGACATACACTGTGTATTACAATACATTGTGTACATACACAAAGGATCTCATCTGAGGAAGAAGATTATTTGTCTCTGAAATCAGTCTCTTTAATCGGATTCATTGTAGAACCAGGACAAACACCGGATAAATCGGATGTTACGTGCATGTTTTGCAACGAACTACAGTCCAAGTTAGTGACTTGTGAATATAGGCCTACGCCTTCTATGTAAAATTTACTTTATTTTCATATTTAAGTCACTGAAAAGTCAGATTTGTACACAATGTTTTATTCAATCTATTTTAAAATGAAAACAATTTATATATTTATTTAACTGTAAATTATTTCTAGACCAGTCATAATCCATTAGATTTCTAGGGGGTACGAAATACGAGGAAAAAGAGGGGTCCGAATTTACAACACTTTTCCTATTTTGCATACTTTTGTAAAAATTAGCAGTCATCTAATATATATTTTTAGATTATTTCAAACTAAGAAAAGTTATTTCTAGATAATGTTAGTTTAGTTTTTTTCTTAAATCGGGCGTGATTGATTTCATTCTAATGATAAAGTTTTTCCAATTGACAAAATTAGATTTATATTAGATAAATATATAAATTAGATATTATTAGCAACATATATTATATATATATATATATATATATATATATATATATATATATATATATATATATTGTTATGGTATTCAAAATTGAAGAGTAAAGATATTAAATGTACGATGAAATCAATATTTCAGAGATTATAGAAAGTAAAAATACTCCGAACTGCCTGGAATTAACCAAAGGTAATCTTAGTCATAAATAATCTTTTGTATAAATATAACAAGTGGATAGTGCGGGTACAATGAATAGAAGTTAACGATGGTTTTTTCCCATAAGCCATAAAGTGTTCCGTAATCCGGGTTTGCGCCATGAACAGGACAATAAAAATAGTTAATAAGTAAATGGTTTTTCGGAATCTGTAAATACCCAGTAGAAATTAAGTGTCCTTGTAGAAATAATATGAATTAGGAAAGTTTGTAGGTATTTCTGATTTTATGTGGGGAGTGGTATGCAAATTTCTGATTGGCCGAGAATTTGGAAAGTGGTGAGATGGGTGTGTATAATGAGAGGTTGGATGGATGGATAGATGAGATGAGATAGTTAGTTAGTTCCAGTTTCTTAAAGTGAATGGTTGGTTTTCGAGGTGGTCTCCAGGGGTAGTAAGTGATAAAGAATAAGTTGTGAGTTGGTGAAGTAAGTGTGTCCGACGGTAGCTGATCTGGTACAAATTTGTAAGTAAACTTTTCCTACTTGTATTCTACGTATCGCTGTTTATTTCGGAACGAGAGATTAAGTTTGGCGAGAGGAAAAGAGGCTGGCATCATTGGAAAGGTACGTGCATTCGAAGGAGAGCATTGAAGACACTAAATTGCAATATCTTGTTTAATATTGCCAATTACATAGGAGGCTGCTGAGAACTGATAGTTTATTTTGCATAGAACGAGGAATTGGACAACTCAAGGCAGAGGAAGCGTTTCAACGGGAGAAACATTCATAATTAATTTCAATTTGAGAATTTTGGGTCAAATAATATTATATCATATTAGTAACGTGTGAATAAGTTGTCGATAGTCGAAGGAGATCAAATTGGTTCTGAGAGGGGACGGAGCTGTGGAGAGAATTGGATAATTCATACAAATTTTTCTTGGTACAATCGATATACCAAAATTGCATTAGGAAGGCCACTGAATATTACTTGATTTGTTTATGTAGAATAATAAGCTCGATTTTAGATTGTAATTGTATTATATTATCCATGCATTATTGAAGGTTCACGTACGTAGAACGATTTTTGTTTGATAAACATTGTATGCTAATAATTTTTGGAGGTATTTTAATCAGTTTATTTTATTACATTATTTTCATATCATATTATGTTGTTTTATTCCGTTATTCTTTGGACCTAACCCATCAGCTGTAAAGTATAGATATTGAAGCACGAGTAAAACCTGAGATAACAAAATTGAAAGGTGTGATATAAATCATAAATCAAAAATTTAAATAATTTGTTTATATATATTTTTTGTAAAGTTTTAAAATTAAAATTCTTGATATCACAATAATATATATATATATATATATATATATATATATATATTATATATATATATACGTATATATTATATGTACATAATATTGTTTTACACTAATACAAATATGAGTCCCTTTGGCGCGTCTCTAATGCCTCGGGGATATGAACGGACTTACCATCTAATTACTTAAACCAAACGGTAAATGGAAAGGTAGTAGTAGAGGCTGCTGTTGACCCAAGTTTCTTATACATACAACTTAATTCCCAAGGGTCACTAAGGGTACTATATTCTCATTTCATTCCATTTGCATTACATTAACGTGAGCACACTTTTATTTTATCGTTTTATTACAATTGTGTATAGTGTATATTTAGGTTGTAACCTATACGTTTAAATATCTCGTATTAGTAATTTTACGTTGAAATTTACGCGAACATAAGTAGTGGTATTATTGATTACGAATGTTTTTAAAATTTTAATTTTAACGTGGTAATTATAGTAAGGACATTTGAAAGACCCAGATTTCAGGCAGTGGGCAGTATAATTCCCAGCAAATAATATCACGCCTAATTTGACGCTGCTGCCACCTAGTAGTGATATCAGTAAACATATAAAAAATTACTTTAAAGCTATGGTACAGATATTTACATTACCATGCATACTTATGTTTGTATATACGCTATTTTGACGTTTTTTTGTGCGGTTATGTTCTAGTTGTGCATAAATAATTGTTTAAACAAAATTTAAGGTGAGTGCTAACGATATAAATTATTTTTTTCCATTCTTTTGACTTTTATACAGCCATTCATATACGAACAATGATAATAGAATGTATTGGACATATGCTAAATCTATATTTTTAATTGGGTTATATGCTTTCCACCGCCCATCCTTATTGATTATTTTTAATATTTTATTTTAAAATGTAGGATCTAAATAACACCAGAGATGCCATGATGATTTTGTGTTATTGTAATATTTTTATAATTACAGGCTTGCCTGTTTCTTCTGATACTTCTGCCGAAAATACTTAAAGAAGTATGCGGATCGTAAAATTTACGTATGTCCGGTAATCTAGGGTTAATAGATATTGCCAATAGATTAAAAATATAATTGATAACTAATTGTATATTAATTTATTTAAATAAATATGCTCATTGTCTTTTCTTTGATTTTCAGCTTACTCTCTGGCTGCTCTGTTAGGTCTGATATGTGTGCTGCCATTCGCTTGGAGAGTCTTAGTTCACAAAGAACAGGGAAATTGGGATCAAGCAATTCCAGCCTACTATTTTGCACATTTAGAACTATTTCTCGGAAATGGTTCGTTAGGAGTAGGCGTTATGATGCTTTTGGCTCTGACATTAGAACGCTACGTTAGCGTATGCCATCCAGGTCACGCCAGACCAATTTTGGGGTCGCCAATTCGAGTAGTTGTAATAATTCCATTAATAACCACCGCTCTCTACATTCCAATATTATTTAGAAATAAAGTTAAGACTTGTCAATTGTTACCAGAAAATATAATTATATACCAGAGGGTAGAAGACACCAAATACTTAAATAACCCCATGTTTAGTGTATACAAAGTCGTTTTAGAACTCATTTTTAAGGTGATTCCAGTAATATTACTTGCAGGCCTTAATTTAAAAATTTTGATTGTCTATCGAAATTCATGTGATAAGAGGAGAAAAATGACGTTAAGTAGAAAAACCTCTGGGGAAGAAGATCCAAAAAAGTTCGCTGAGGAAAGAAGACTTATTTTATTGTTGGGATCAACAAGCATCCTGTTCTTGGTCTGTGTTACTCCTATGGTTTTGTTGAATGTCACACTGTCATATGCCAACTTGGTGAAATTTTCGTATCAGGTATGTATATCAACTTATTTATTTGAATGTTTCGTTTATTTTCTGTGTAAACTTATTATGCGTCTCTTTAAACAATGTTTTTGTTCTTTCGTTTTAGACAGATCTGGATATACAGTACGTGAATCGTTTAGCTGAACATTAGTATATTAAATAACGAGAGTTGTAAGAAGCTTATTACATGCGAGTAAAAAAGTTGCGCACGAGCAGCGAGCGGCGCGTAATTTTACAAGTATGTAATAAGCTTACAACTCAAGTTGTGCACTATACTTTTTCTACGATTATTTTCATTTACAAAAATAAAAAGTATAGATAGATAGATAGGTTTATTGACAATTTTTACATAGTAAACACTACATGTCATGTCACAATAAAAATAAGTCACTTTTGTATACATAGAAAATAACTAAGAAATAATACAAGAACACATAATAAAACATATACAGTGAAAATTAGATATATAAATTATAAAAAAAAAGAAATCAGGAAGGCGTAATATAGTTTTCATAAAAAGCGACCACACTAGGAGCTCAAACAAAGAAATTCCTGTATACTATAGAAACAGTGTTCCAGCAGGAAGTGTTTTGCTAGTTTATAAAATTGTTTAGAATTCATTGCCTTAATATCAATATTTTTGTTTAGGTTTAAAAAACAATTATACAGATTATAATCTATTGTATTAAGTTGTGTAACACACAATCTGGAATATGGTATAATGATATGACTTTTATTTCTTGTATTGTAATGATGTTGATCAGCATGTGTTTTTACATCTTGTATATTATTATGAACAGTTAACAAAGTTTCAAATATATATATTGAAGGTAAAGGAAGAATGCCATACTTTTTAAACAAGGTTTACAGCTGGCGCGATATTCTGCTGAGTCAATAATTCGGATTGCTGCTTTTTGAAAAGTGAAAACTTTATATGCATAGGACGAGTTTCCCCAAAGAAGTATGCAATATGTCAGGATACTATGAACCATTCCAAAATAAACTGACCTAAGAATATCTCGACTCACAGAAGTAGCCAATCTGCGCATAGCAAAAATCTGTGAGGCGAGCTTCTTACACAATCGTTCAATATGGTGCGACCAGTTCAACCTTGTATCCATAGTAACACCTAGTAACTTTACTGGTTCAGATGGTGTAACCCATCTATCAGAACTAAATACTATTGTCTGGGTTTTCTGCTCGTTTAACTTAAGTTTGTTACAGTTAAACCAGGATTTAGATTTTTCTAATATTTCCTGACTGTAATCAGTTTTACCTCTACATAAGGTTGTGTCATCTGCAAAAATCAGTGGGTAACTCATGCAGAATGAGATCCCAAAACTGATCCTTGTGGTACTCCGGTTGAAACTGGTAAGGATCAGATTCTTGATTATTAAATGCAACAATCTGTGTTCTTCCTGTAAGATAGGATTTTAAAAGGTCATGTATGGTACCCCTTATTCCATAGTACTCCAATTTTATCAATAGTGTTTGAATATCCACACAATCAAAAGCTTTTGTAAGGTCACACATTAAGCCATTAGTAGGTTCACCTGCATCAAAACCGTGAACAATATGTTCTATTACTTCTAATAAAGCTTTAGTTGTTGAGTATTTTTTTCTAAAACCAAATTGAGAGCTAGATATAATTGATTTGTTATCCAAATAATTTGCTATACGATCTTTAATTAAGATTTCAAAAATTTTACTTATTGTTGGTACTATGGTAATAGGTCTGTAATTGTCTGGAGCATTTTTATTTCCTTTTTTATGAAGTGGAATTACTTTTGATATTTTGAATACATCAGGCCAGTAACCCTCGTTAATACATTTGTTAAATATTATTGTGAGTGGTTTCAACAATTGTATCAATGATTCCTTAATAATTTTACTGTTAAAACCATAGTAGTCAACACATGAGGAATTTTTTTAATTTGTATATGCATTCTTTCACATCAGATGCTACTATTGGAGACATAAAGAACGAACTTGACCTTCTAGGTACCTGCTAAGATAGTAGTTTATGTCATGCTCAGAGTCTCCTATTGATTTCGATATAATATCTCCATCGAGTTAGAATGTATTCTTCTCATATATATTTTATAAAAAACTCTGTCATATTGTTTAAATTACATTGGATATCGTCAAACACAGTCTTTGGATTTAATTTTTTCCACAAAATTCTTAATATTTTTTTCATTTATTAATCTTTTTTAGTCTTTTCTATAATTGTAACGAGTAACTTTTATTTATTTAACAAAATTCGGGAACAATTTAAATTAAACATTTGTTTGTAATAGTTAATTGTAAAATTAATTGCAATTATTTTTACCTATACCCTTATCCGAGTTTGGCGGTTGTTCAATAATACGTGGTGAATGGTGAGATGACGTAAACTGTACGGTGTGTTTAAGGAAAATCCAATCTAATAATAGTTATATAATTATAGGAATAGTATACAGAGTGGCCCAAAAGTCTGGAAACGGCTAATTATCTCGTAAATTACTAGACATAATTATACAAAATTTGAGATACGCCTATTTTGGGATACGGAGATTCCATATTTGGTATTTGCAATGTTGCCAGATTTTCAGTTTCTCTTATATTACTAGTAACTTTGGTTTTTCAAATGCATCACCCTGTATATTCAGTCATTATTGGAATCTCCTATTAAATACGAGTTCAACCATATGTAACACTTATGATTTTATGTAGTCTGGAAGGTCTTAAATACATAAAACAGAAGTCTGGCAACGCCTAAATTGTTTCAATACATTTTTTAATACTAACTATTTTCAAATACATTAAAACGTAACAATTGATAGTTTAGAATATTTTTTAACATAATAGTTACGTTATTAAGTGTTCAAAATGTGCTCCATTTGTGAGTTGACAGCACTCTAATCGATGGTAGAATGCGTCTACCACATTTCTCCATGATTGTCTAGAAATTATTCGAGATTCATCGATAATTCATTGCCTTAGCTATGCAAGACTTGCTGGTTAAGTTTTGTAAACTGAATTTTTCAAGTATCTCTAATAAAAATAATCTTTAGGATTGAGATCGGGTGAACGTGGAGGCCATTCAATTCTACCTTGTCTACCAATTTATCGTCCGGGAAATATCTCATCTAAATAACGCCGAACATTTACACCAACTATCTGACGTTAAATTTCTTTCGATAAAAAATGGCCCAATTAAATAAGTACCTACTATAACTGACCATACATTTAATTTTTGTGGTCTTTGAGTATGGTTTTCACGCATTCAGTGTGAATTTCACACGAGTTCAGCTATTCAATACGAGTTCAACCATATGTTCACTTGATTTTATGTAGTCTAAAAGATCTTAAATACATAAAACAGTGCAAAATATGTAGATTTTAATAAATTTAAATATTTAAATGGAGAATGCTGTGATTTTGACATTTGTTCACCATTTAAATTATGAACTAAAATTGACAGTTGTGGTTCAAAAGTTCTGCAATTTAAATTGCTTCTCTAAAATGCCGTTCTCTAAACCGTTCTCCTATTCATAAGACGACGGTACAAAAAACTGTAAGGCGATTTGAGGAATCTGGAGAAGTAAAAGATAGATACCGATCAGGTTGACCGAAACGAGTTATCAATGACAACAAAACTTCAGATATAAGCAAAGTTTTGTTGAAGATCCACATACATCCCCAGGCAGGGTTGCACAAGTACATGATGTAGGTCATTCTTCAGTCTTACGTTTATTACGTAAAATAAATTTAAATCATACAAAATTAACTTATTGCAAGAATTAAGTGAAGATGACTTTGGTCGTAGATTAGAGTTTACTGAGGTAATGATGGATAAAATTGAAAATTATTAAAATTTCGTTAACAGAATATGTTTTTCCGATGAAGCAACTTTTACACTGTGTGGAAGTGTAAATCGACACAATTTAAGGTACTGGTGTGACGTAAATTCACACTGAAGACTGAATGCGTGAAAACCATACTCAAAGACCACAAAAATTAAATGTATGGTCAGATATAGTAGTTACTTATTCAATTGGTCATTTTTTGTCGAAAGAAATTTAACGTCAGATAGTTGGTGTAAATGTTCGGCGATATTTAGATGAGATATTTCCTGGACGATAAATTGGTAGACAAGGTAGAATTGAATGGCCTCCACGTTCACCCGATTTCAATCCTAAAGATTATTTTTATTAGGGATACTTGAAAAATTCAGTTTACAAAACTTAACCAGCAAGTCTTGCAGAGCTAAGGCAACGAATTATCAATGAATCTCGATAATTTCTAGACAATCATGGAGAAATGTGGTAGACGCCTTCTACCATCGATTAGGGTGCTGTCAACTCACAAATTGAGCACATTTTGAACACTTAATAACGTAACTACTATGTTAAAAAATGTTCTAAACTATCAATTGTTACGTTTTAATGTATTTGAAAATAGTTAGTATTAAAAAATTTATTGAAACAATTTAGGCGTTGCCAGACTTCGGTTTTATGTATTTATGACCTTCCAGATTACATAAAATCATAAGTGTTACATATGGTTGAACTCGTATTGAATAGGAGATTCCAATAATGACTGAATATACAGGGTGATGAATTTGAAAAACCAAAGTTACTAATAATATAAGAAAAACGGCAAATCTGGCAACATTGTAAATATCAAATATGGAATCTCCGTATCCCAAAATAGGTGTACCTCAAATTTTGTACAATTATGATTAGAATTTTACGAGATAATTAGCCGTTTCCAGACTCTTGGGCCGCTCTGTATAATTCCATTCACTATTTTCTTTACTTTACGAGAGTATTCTAGTAACACCGTTGGCGTTTCTATTGTTAAAGGAATCTGCTTCTCTGTTTATTTTCCAAAACTAATACACTTTTACTTCCTATCTTTATAGAAACGACTATTCAATTAATCATCATTATTCTCGCCATGACTTTAACATATTTAATTATCCAGCTAATTTAAGGATAGTAGAAAGCAAAAGCTTGTTGCGAACTAAGGAGAGCCTATCACAAGAAACGAAACAGCAAATCCAATTTGCAAAAGATCATTTCAAGTTAAAATAAATTTTATATAAAATCTTCCGAAAATATTTATTTGTAAATATTGAAAAAATATAACATACAACGTATCACTATATTTTGAATCTTAAGACTTTCAAATATACATTTACAATAAAAGGCATAAACGATGGTAACATTAATAAATAATATATAAAGATAAAGTAAAATAACTTAATAGATATAAATCCCGAAATGTTCTATAATAGTATAAATGTAATGTTAATAATTTCACGGTTTGAGAATAATCGCATTAACAGCCACGAATAAATTTTCAAGTCTTTGAAAGTTTAAAGCAAGTTTCTCAAAATATCTTTCTTATAATCTTCATCTTGCATAATCGTATTACTCTAATATATGTTACTATTCTTTTAAAAATATATATGTAAAGTATACTACAGCTAAAATTAACGCGAAACGTGAATAACTACGGGATCAGATAGTCACATGGAGTTAACAAAGGTTTGATGAAAGCAATTGTCCTTCAATGTAAAGATAATAAATGTAACACTACCAATTATGAAATACCAATGCACAAATTTTAATATAATTAAACAGTATTTTAACAAATGCTTTCACACTTCAATTTTTAATTTCAAATGCGCATCTTACGCTACAATTGAATGTACTAATTATGCCACCACTTTCATGTAAATGATGTGATCGGTTTTTCTTACATGAAACAATATATTTTTCCCTTTATAAAGATGTATTCTACAGTAGGCAATTACAAAAAAGTAAAATACTCATCGTCTGAAATAATTGGTTGTGAATTGTGAAAGGACTAGACTTACAAACATTTTATGTTTATTACTCCAGGCTTTTCTGGACTGTTTCGTAAAAAGTCGTTCAGAACACCTCGAATATATGGTCTACCCAAAATTCACAAACCCGATATTCTTGTACGTCCCATTGTCAGTGCACACAAATGCCCTACACTACATTTTCCAAGTATTTGGCCAAAACTCTACACCATCTTTTTCTTCTTTTTCCTACTTTATAAATAGGCTTAATGCCTGTTTTACTTCGGTTTTTATCCTCAATTGACGTTGTCTGACCATATTTTCCTCGGTAGTCCCAATGATCTTCTTCCATTTGGCGATTTGTCTCTTGCTATTCGAATTGAAAAAGACTGTAAGACTTGTACACACTTCTAAATAGGTCTAACTGGTAAGCAGGTTTTGTATGTTTTCAATAAAATTGATAGTGTGTAAAATAATTTATTAATTAAGCTTAGTATACTTTCGACATAATAAATGTCATCATCAGAGCTATCCTAAAATAACGTTAAGTTAAGTAAATTTTTTATAAAATTCGATGACAGAAAAAATAAACTTACGTCAAGTAGGCAATAAATACTTCATAGAAGGAAAATTCTGAACAAACAACATATTAAAAACAAAGATCGGGCTCTCTAGGCCACAGAGAGGCCGTGGGCCGAGGCCCTTGGGGTTAGACCCAAGATCTGTGGCCTAGAGAACCCGATCTTTCTTTTTAATATGTGGTTTGTCCACAATTTTCCTTGACAGTATTGATGTCCACACCAAATGCAGAGCCTACAAATTCACATGAATAGCCGCGTAGCTCATCTTTTATATCTTTATCGACCGGAAGCTTGCAATTTGGAATACGAGAAACTCGTATGGTGCCCAAACTATATATGCCTCGAGCTCGCAATAATACCAACAAAGGCAACGATGTATAAAAATTATCGAAATACAAGATGTGATGAACGAAGTCTGGAATTGTTTGTGACAATCGCACAACAACGTTCGATGTGGCTCCAAGATCAGGCTGGCCCGGTAGGATCACATTGTCGCCAGCACCGTTATAAACCTCAAACCGATAAGCGAATCCACTCGTATCACATAAAACAAATAGCTTGATACCCACTTGTGTGGTTTATTTGGCATGTATTGGCGCAAATGATGTTTTGTTTTGGTGCTGCACATCTGTTCGTCGATGCACAATCGAGCAGTCTTCGGAACGGAATCGAATCGAGTGTTTAGAATGTCAACCAATGTTCGAATGCGGAACAACGCATCGTAGCCGGGTTCGCCTTTCTTGACTCGAGTGCTTTCATCACGAAAGGATAAATGTTGTTTTATCGCCATGAATTTTCCTTTGGCATTGTCTTTGCTATTGCTTGAAACGCGTTTTGGCCCAATAGCTTTCCAAATTGGGATAACGGTAAACACTCATGTAAATGAGAATGCCAATATATCTAAAAATATCTTCACTGGTAGTAGTGAATTTTGTGTTGATATCGGCTTGGCGAGCTGCTCGATTTGTTTCAAATGCAATCAAGTCAACCAATTCCTTAGTGAAAAAATACCGAAATAGTTCCATCGGTGTCTCGAGCTCTTTTATGGACGATGGTACGCTTGAGTCACCCCGGAAGGCTACTTGATTGACATGCAAACGCATTGATTGTTTTCGCCATACGATTTTGGAAAACTCAGCCGAATTTTTAGCTATTGATTCAATACCTGCGAAAAAGTTATAATACCAGTTTAGGAAACTCATCAATACTCTTATGTCAAAACAATTTATACCTGCACCAGTGAAACCTCCAGCAGAAGGCACAATTGATGGACCAGCAATTTCGATTTCGGGCAATGGAGAACGAGGTCGTTTCAGTTTCTTGAAACGCGGTGTTGAAGTTGATGGCACGTCGTATTGATCTTTTTCTTCTGCCGTAACAACCTTTTCGTGCGAAACATTCTGTTCAGGAAGTAATGTTGACGAAGCTGATGGAAGTGCTTCGTCGACTGCAGTCAAGTTCAATGAAAAGTCGGCCGCTTGATTGACGAAAGCAGATTCGTCTTCATCTATTTGCCGAACCACCTGTGAAATATACTGTTCATCCTCGGGGATATTTCATCAAGCACAAAATCTGGATCGTTCACATCATCGTCGCTACTGAAATCAGTTTCCACATCTGATTCGACCGATTCTATAAATGCCCATTGTTCCTCTTCGCTCATTTCGCTGATCTTTACTTTATTTCGGCTTCGAAAATCCATTTTCTGCCACAATAGAACTGTAAACAATGACACAATTAGGCAGCTGAACACAATAGAAAGAAATTTGATGGTACACAAGGCAAATATCGAACACAGTAGTTAATCAAATCTTGCCCAAGTACTTTCGATCACAAGATCATCCTCAGGGGCATTTTGTCAGTTGTGGCCTATCCAGCAGTAATAGAATGTTATAAATGTAAATTGAGACATAACCAATACACTAAACAAAGACAAACAAACACTTTAAAATTTAAGAAATGGAGAAGCTACATTTTATATAGAAGCCGGAGACAGAATGAAGTGACAATAGAAAGAGAACAGTAACCTCCACATAAACTGTCATAAGTGCTCTCTCTGAGGCACGCTCTCCTCTTTCTCTTGTTACGCAAACTGCATAATTTTATTTTTCACTTTCGTTTATATCATGTTAAAAGAATGAATTATTACCTTTTTACCGGTATAAATCACGACGATTTCCAATACGAATTTAATATACTATAATTATATAATTTTTTTTGAAAATTGGACTGTAGCAAGAAATAATTTTCGATCTTATTTCGAACACTACGAAACTTCTCAATAAACTGTTCCGGAAAACGAAACGAAACGGTAAAATGATCTTGCTTATGAACCAAGATAACAAACAATGAAGGTACTGTCTGTAGGCACTGTTATTAGTTTTGGGAATAAATAATTATTATTATTGCGTGTAACTATTGACATTGACTTTTATCATGAATGCCCCGCTGCACTCTTAACCGGTAGAGGGTTAAGGCGAAAAGCAATTTTCAATTTTTTTTTTTCTGTTTTCTGACAGCAATAAAATATATTTTGTATTAATAATAGATTAAATACCTACATTTTTGTTGTGTAGATTAATTTAATTCAAACAATAAACACTTTTTAGCTACTGCCATTCTCATTTAAAAATCTATTTATTACGATTGATAATGTCACAGTTTAATTTCTGTTTTAGATATTCCGGGCCATAGCCAACCTCCTGGAAATCACAAACTACTCTCTAACATTTTACATCTACTGTTCTTTTTCCGAAGACTTTAGAAATACTTTATTACGGACACTTGGACTGAGTAATACAAATCCAATTCGAGGCGGCGTTAAAATCCCCCAGCCCACAGCGACGACAACTATTACTCAGCACAAGGGGGCTTGATATAAGGCCTGTGATTGGGTGTAAAATATGGTTTTTATAATACTTTGTTATACTGAAATATGTCAAAAACTTAGAATAGAAATAGAAGATGAGAATAGAATTGAATTACTAATATTTCCATTATTAGAATGAGACTTATGAACCTTTCCAAACACACATCTACAAAATTCATACCATATTTTAATTATTTATTATATATTTTATTTCAACCACTCACTTATATTATAGTATTTGTTAAACAGGCTTAATTTTTTATTTTTTATAGCATTAAATTATGTGAAAGCATTTACACGAACAATCACAATAAAATGTAATTAAAACCTTTAAAAAGCAAAGAATTCATACAAGTTGAACTGATTCGTTAAATCCTATGAACCTAATAATATCATTACTCTATTTTAATTATTATGCATTTCCGAAATCGTGCTATTAAATTAAATAAAATAGCAAAATCCGCAATAACCCAAGAATTCTACAACAAAATGTAAAATATTAAATGTAATAACATTTTTTGTTTAAAATTACGCCTTTTTGTCAATTGTGGTCACAATAAATAAATATGAAGTGCCATGTTTTTCCATTACATTTTACTAAGTTTCGTTTGATTAGATTGGCACATTTTGATCCAAATTGAACATAGTACTTCTTCTGTCATATGATAATAATAATAGTTTTTCAAAAACTGTCAAAAAAATGTACTTGTGTGAAGATATTTTTATTTTGAGATCTGACATATACATTGCAGTTGATATTATTCAATATTTGAGGTTTTGTAGTTAAATACTGGCCTTTATGTAAAACTCACTAAGGTTTGTTAAGCTCTCGAGTTTATTTAACTCTTTCTCAAAACATACTAAAAATGAAAACAAAAACTAAATTAGACAATGAAGTTGTTGTATCTTCAACAATCTTACCCTTCTGAGGATGTTACTATAAAATTTGCAGAATTACTTAACATTTGACGTTTTATTAAATGTCAAATATCAATCATTATGTCAAATTAACCTAAAATGCATATAAAAGAAGAAGAGACGTGGAAACCATAGTAATGGGTTTTGAATGAAAGAAAAAAGAAATACAAATTAATAAAATGTCAAATGTTAAGTAGTTCTGCTAATTTTTTAGTAACATCCTCACTATTCATTTGTCAATACATTTCATAAAAGATAGTCTCATATTAAATTGCATCATTTCTTCTAAAGAAACTGCTACAGTATTTATAATAAGTATTATAATTTTAATATATAATAAATATAATAATAAAGTATTCGTTTGGGATTTTTATGAATTAAATAATTATATTAATAGCTCACATTAATATCTCCCACATGACCAAGGAATATGACTACCACGAACTAAAACATACAAATATTCTAACACGTTATTCTAATACTTCTACCACGAACAATTGAACGTTCAGGAAAGTTGTATTTAAATATGTTCCCACTGCCCTCTCTTTATAATGTGGTGGTGTACCATCTTGAATAAACCACATATTTCGCCACAATTCTTCCAATAAATCAGTAATATCAGTTTATAAAAAATGTTAATAAATCTCTCTATTCAAATTACAAGGTAATGCGCATGTCCGTAAACAATTATTACAAATGGTTCCAAACCATACAAAATGCATTTTAAACATGCATTTTAAATAAACGTATGGTTTGGAAACATTGGCAATTTTTTTTACGGACATGCGAATTACCTTGTAATTTGAATGGTGAGCTTTATTTACTTACATTTTCTATATTTATTTACATTTTCTATAAAATGATTTTATTGATTTATTGAAAGATTGTCATTAAACTTAAGGCAAAATATGTAGTTTATTGAAGATGGTAGACTATGTCTTTATTATTTTTCATCGCAAATACTGGTAACGCCACATATGTGGCATATGTGGCGCCCTCTATTAGCTACATTAAAGTATGTATTAAGTTATTATTTTCTCATATTTAATAAAACCCTGTTGTAAATTTTTATACCTACAAAAATGTTCACAAACATGAAAATAATAGCAAAAAATAAAATTTTAAATTTCGACTATAACACACTGTATCTTTCTTAATATCAACATTTTATTAAAGCATTGGCATTAAATCGTAATAATTTAAAATGTAAAATCTGCTTTTCTTTTTGTACAATTACTTAAGGATCACCCAGATATATATATATATATATATATATATATATATATATATTATATATATATATATATATATATATATATATATATATATATATATATATATATATATATATATATATATTATACAGTATTGGAAGATTCAAAACGGAACATACGAATTATTAATACAATTATTAAGATCCCCTGACCTGCAATTACCCAGTGTAAATTTCAATATAACGTCGCGATGTCTTATAATTAATTCATTTGTTCGACTGGATTGCTACTCCTTGGCGATTTCTAGTAGCGTATTCGACAGGTGTACGTCGACACTGTTGTCTATCGTCCACTGATTTTCTGTGTTTTTGTGCAGATAATAACAATGTTTTATTAATAACAATTTTTTTGTGTTCATTAGATATTATTTGAATTGGTTAGTGTATAGTTTAATATATTTATTATTCCAAATATTGTTGATGATTTAAAATTTAAAAGGATGTATATGATAAATCAAAATCTACAGATTTTTGCCGAAGGTATCTATCGATTTGCAACGTCCAAGGACTCATGGCGACAACAATACATGCCTTTGCTTTGCTTCTCATTATAACGCCATAAGCTGAAATAAAAGTAGTGTTTCTAACCATAAACCATGTATACAAACAAAGAAAAAGTACAAATTTTAAAATGGTATTATGGGGGCAACTCGTACCGTGATATTATAAATTTATTTACTTGTGCGTATGAAGATAGGCCAATACCGACACAATCAACTATTAGTCGTATTATTAAGGTGCGCACGTGCGCAGCAGTCGAAAAATATCGACTGGAGAAGGAGTCCAGTCGAACAAATGAATTAATTATAAGACATCGCGACGTTATATTGAAATTTACACTGGGTAATTGCAGGTCAGGGGATCTTAATAATTGTATTAATAATTGTATGTTCCGTTTTGAATCTTCCAATACTGTATATAATATATATATATATATATATATATATATATATATATATATATATTTATATACATATTAATTAATATATATATATATATATATATACTATATATATTCTCGGCAACTAACACGTATTTGTATAGAGAGTGTCTGTACCAAGAGTGCCTGTATAAAGAATGTCTCTATAAAGAGGAGATTTCAAGATAGTACGAGTAGAGAAAATGACGAAATAATACTATAAAAGAGAGTTGAAACAAATTGCAACTAATGCGCTAATATAATAATAAGCTTGTTTGAAAGGTTCATAAAGTCTACAGATTTCATACACTCTTACAATTTAAATAGTCTAGTATGTACGTGAAATGTTAGAATATTTGTATGTTTTAGTTGTATATAAACAGAAGTTTGGAAGTTTGAATATGGTAGTCTTTATATGCGTAATAAATTATACACAAAACTATATAATTAAGAGTTGTATGTTTACTAGTATACGAGAAAGTACTAAAATTGTTTAGATAATTTTATTTCTTTTTTAAATATCGGCCTATAACTTCATAATGTGATCCACCCATGAGAACTCCAGAATACTACCCATATAAATACATTTCTTCTTGAATTGCATAACCAATTAATTGCTTACCTACATTAATAATTTCACGTGACGCCATTTTGTATTACAATTAATTCAACATTCATTGACTGTCGTGTAAACCATTTTGCTTTCGGCACAGATCGAATTATGGCGAAGGATTCAAATCGTTCTACCCAGATCGACCCGTGAAAACGCGCCTTAAGTTCAAAAATAAAAATAGCCACTATGATTTTCAACCTCCTTAGGGAGACGGCACTATAAGAAGAAGAAGAACCGTTTAGAGACGGTCTATCTTCTTTCTCGTAGGAGGCCAAGCTATAATAAATATTTAAAAAAGTGAACATAAAATTACCCAAATTACTCTAATAAAAAATTGTTGTACATTTTTAACCATTTAAAAAACGGTTAGAGGATTGAAAAATAGAAAAATACGAAATAAATATAAAATGATCGCTTTAAAATATTTATATATTTTTTCGTCGGTTAATTCAGCGAAGTATCTTTTACGGCGTGGATACAGTTACTAAAGTAAGTTAAACAAAAACATCGAGACCATAAAGAAAAACAGAAGAGCGACTATCAGTAGCCCGAAGTTGTTTTTAAGTATTTACATACAATTACGGAAAGCTACAAGATCAAGTTTTAAATTCAAAAACTTGGGACGCATCGGTCTGAATATTTTAATCCGTATAACGAAAGTAAGAGAATTGGAAACATTTTTTTCGTTTAAAAACTTCTGAAGTGAAATATGTTCCTCTTTCGAAAAGTTACTTTAAAATTTTAAGGATGAAATATTGTCAGCCGTATGTTACATAACGAATATGTAAAAAGAAATATAATAAAAATATTACGAATGAAAAAATGTCTCGGCAGACTAAATTAAATTTTCAAAATGAACACATACCGTATCGATCGTAAAATAATAGATGGAGACTTGTTTTTGGGATACGTATCTTTAATCCGAAGAAAACAATATTAAAAAAGAAAATTGGATGTAAATGTAGCAATAAATACTCGGAAAAGCTAACTGTTTCTAAAACGTAGACATCAACGACTGTTCGTATATTTAATAAACCTTAAATAAACGAAAAAAGCATTTGGTAAAAAATTGAAATTGAAACTATCCTTTATCAACTCACAAAAGACTAGTATAATGTACTTAACCCTTAAGTACTGATATATGAATATTGGAACATAATTACTGACGTATCTTCAGTGATACTACCCTACAATAAAACAATTGTTTTGTATGTTTTTTGTAAAATTCAGTTAAATATAATTTTAAACAGGTCAAGAAATATTAAATAAGACTTACTCACAATC